ACTTTCCAAAATATGTCAAATGTTGAGTGATTAATTATACAAAAGGTGTGAGTAATCAGTTGTGCACAATCCTGGTCAAAGATTTACCAAAAAGGGAAAGAACTGAAAACTAACTTTGTGAATTTACACAATTGTATTTATAACAACATATAGATACCAGAAAGCTAAAAGTTAGATCTACTAAATTCAGAAGGTTGTTGATTAATAAATATTTTTTCACAATTTTTAAATGTCTATTGTTAGAAGGGAAAATATTGTTAATCATTTTCTGAAGTGATCACTCAAATTTTGTAGCAGACAATGTGGGCTCATTTGAAATTTAAAGGTTTTTGATAGAGTCTGAGATAATGTCACTAATTGGTTAATAAATGCTAATGTGGAAATTCAAATCGGAGCCTACTTTTAGCACAAAAATGAGTTAATTTCTGTGTGAGCCTATGTTGGTAAAGAGTTGAGATTTTTGTGATATTACTTAATGCTACTGAATTTTTAACAGGGTTCCACACTCTGATCAGTATAATCTTAACCTCTAAATCAAGGACTTTCCCATAGCTATCAGCACACAACAGAGAAAGAGAATCTTTTAACGTATTATATACATGATGTATATAAATACCAAATCAGCAGCCAGAGTGCTCAATTCATAATTGAAGAGCAATGAGTTATAAGCAGGAGCAGCCACTTTTTAAAAAAATTCCCTTTTGACAGTGATTCCAGGGATTGTGTAATTTTGTTTTGGCCTGTATGCATGCCATTCCACATTATACTGACCTTGCTACCATGGGCCGTTTGGTATATAGGAAGAAAAAACATCATGTCAAGCAACTTTCTTCTATTGATATAAAGTCTAGTTCCCATTCTCATATATTCCATGAAGACACTTTCAGTAATAGACATTGGATATTATGGGTAAACTGATTGACCTACAGCTATACTATCCCAGAAACAACAAGGATCAACATATCAAGAGCTGCAATGCATATCTTCTTTCATTTTGAAAAAAATTATCTGCAATTTGTGCTACAGTAGTACTTGTGTTAGCTCGTATTTGGCAGGAAGGCCTTTGTCCACTTCTCACATATATAAATCTTGGCTACCCAGAACCTTGTCAGCAGTTGTGAGTGGAAGGGGATTTTTCCCTCCTCACACTCCTGCCATTCAACACAACTTAGCATACACAACACAAGCCATGGCATTTCAGAAATTCTCTAATCTACACTTCTGGCTAGGACTGTATGGTCATTGTCAAGGTCACTTAAATCTTTCTTGCTTATAATTGGGGCACTCCACACAATAATATGAGGCACTCAAGGCCAACTTCACTATAACAGACCCCCACCCCACTTGCCAGATACTAAACGGTTCACCATTGTAGCTGTCATTTTAATACATGTCACTGGCTCAGCTTTGTAAATATCGTAAAACTTGGTAAATTGACTTGAAAACTATGAAGTTCCAAACAAAAGCAGTTTACAAATGTATATATTTTTTGTTATATTAGAAAAGGCATAGCATGGAAGTGAAATTAGTGTGCCACATTCAAATTCTGTCCAAGATCATTGGACTTTTCATCACTTTTGCAAAAAATACCCTTGCATCTCTTCTCCTCCCCCAGTTGTGAGTTAAATAGCAAGGCAGATAGTTTGGTTGGCAACCAGTCTAGGAGAAGGATATGTTTTCAAAACCTATTCATGCATGAGACTGGCAACTCCATTCCCTAGAGACCTATAGAAAACAGTGCAGTGAAACTGACCCTAGTCTCCACAGGGGGATGCTTCGAGGGAGGAGAAAATGGAAAAAGGCCGGGTTTATTGTTGCTTACTAAGAACAACAAGGCTACCAGTCTAATTTAAGAGGGTGGGGAAAAAAACTTCCCAAATATTTAATAAAAGGGTTGGTTGGAATAAAGATGTCCTGGGTATATGTATCTCCTCCACAAAGAAATGACAAAAAAAAATAAATAAATAAAAAAGATTAAAAAAAAAAAAATTATTCTAACCATTTGGAACTCAAATATAATTAGTAAATATTTTATATGGTGTTAAGAAACTAGTTTTACTGATTGTTACTCACTGAACCCTCCCACCCCTATATACACCCACATTTGTCAACTTATATTAGAAAGTTGGCCTAAGTAACTATAAACAGTTAGGATTAGCAGGATTTGTAAATTTGAAACAGTGAAGTAAATGATTAGTTCCTGTAATGGCTGACAATGAGAGTAACAGCTTTTTGTTGTTACTGTTGAGGAACTATGCAAAGGAGTAGTACTTTGCCAAGATGGCCTTCTGTAGTCTCCTCATGCACCCAGCACTATGGATGTTTCATTTTGCATTGCAGTTTTGCAATAGCCTCTCCATAGTGAAGATCCTCCATGTATGGTATAGAGCCACTCCAGGCTGTACCATTAATATTGCATGGACAATAGACGAAACAGAGTGGATCAAGGAGTCCAACTTGAATAAAATAAATAAATATTCTGTATATACATTGTTGGCATGCAGTAGTTCATGTGGCAGGTAACAACAAATTACTGTTATGCTTTGATGAACACTGTAGCTGTGCAGATGATCAGTTTTGACAATGAACAGGTATACAGGTTCTAACAAACTGACAACCACATGATCTTATTAGCAACAGAAAGACAAATGTCCAACAGAGGTCGTTGATGAGAGGAGATATGCCTAATCATGCAATTATGAAAGAGTACTTTGTTCACTCTTTATCAAACACTGTGACATGCAAGTGTTTGAAATTTTCTCAAAACAATTTGCGTGTAGAAGAAATGGATTCAGACCTTTGTAAAGGACATCAGCACAAAAAGAACAAATAGTTTCTCTCAAAATTTAGAAAATCCATCAACTGCATGTTCTGTGCCAATAGATATCATGCCATACTAACAACATTCATTGGTGCAGAACTGAGTTATATAAATAAACGTTAATTTTTCAACATCAAATATTTTTTTTTTTTAGTGAAATTATATAAAATAATTTTTTAAAAATTGTATATTCTTACTGCTTCTAAATATTTCAATCTTAATGCTCTATCACATCATGAGTATCATAAATTAGAAGTTTCAAACCAAATATGATATCTGGTAATAATTCAATAGGTTAATAAACACTGACCTTGATGAGCAGTGTTAGATAAAACTCTAGCATCAGCCTAGAAGTTGCTTTAACATTTATTAATTAGTTGACTATTGTTGCTCCTGTTATCTGTTGAGTAATTATTTTGATAGATGTAATATGGTCATCTTATTACTCTCATTATATCCATACAACTAAATGTGTTAGTTCTATCACTGATATTGAGTATTTCCCACTAAGTACTGTGCATATAGAATATATATATATATATATATATATATATATATATATACACACATATAATTATTAATTGGTGTTACCCCATACAAGGCAGTAAAGCTACAAGGTATTATAGAGTGTGAAGAATTAGGAACAGAAACATTAATTGACTACAAGTGACTGCATAGGCAAGTTGTTACAAGATTAACATTCTGACCAGGAGACTTGGCTTTGAATCTCACCATGGATGATTTGCCAGTGTGCTGAATTCGTAATATCAGTGTTAGGTTGGTGAAAAGGTTGTCTCCTTACATAGAAATAAAAACCATGTGACAGCTGTCAGAAGTCAGAGAAACAGGGACTGGCATCTAAGACAGACAGGAAGATAACACTCTCTCAAGGACATGGGACCTGCTTAGAGGTCAATGGATCAACTCCAGAAAAGGGAACCACAGACCAGTTTTGAAGAAGCGAGTACCAGTTATCTGTTCAGCAAAGAATACTCTCTGGTTAGTGATATTATATATTATATGCAGGTGAGGACAAGGCCTTTATCTTTTGTAATAAAATAGGTATTGTTAAAACTTTTTTCTAAGCCTTTTTCTTAACGGTTTGCACAAAAAATGACTATAACAGAAGTAACTTGACATATAATGCATTCCAACATCGGCTTGGGGAGATGATCCCAGAATGTAGCACTGTTCAAAAGTGCTTGAAAACTATACCCCAAAAGCCTTTTGAGTGAAAATGGGTAGACAGAACTATTTTTGAGAGCCACTGATGATCGTACTACCAAAGTCACAAGTCATGATAGAGTGTTTGAGCATACTGGTTTTGTTGAAAATACCAAATTAAGCACTCTCCTCAGAAACTGTAACTATGTTCTGCTCAGAATAGTTGCACTATAAACCATAGTTTAGCTTTAGATGTATAAGAAACACAAATGTGCCAGAGCAGGCATCTGCAAGAGGGATGAGCTAGCCTCTCTAGCAGACAGGCATAGTTAGATATGAGCAGTCAGCCATATTTAACCAACTTAAGTTTTGAAGATAAAGTTTTAAACTATATTTTCAGAGAACTACACAATTTTCACATTTTTATGCATTACTAATGTGTTTTGGACTGCTGTGAAGAAAGAGATAAAAATGTATATACCTACAAGTAAATCTGCATTTTTAAATATCAAGTTGTTTTTTTTTCTCCAACAATGGTGCAATTAATTCACTGCTTGCAACATTATTTATTCTAGTTTGGCAGGAATGTCTCCTGGGTAAGATATCAGAATGTCTGCAAATGTCTTGTAAGATTATATCAAATGTTAAAAAAGCTAACTGCTGACAAATGCATCTAGAACACATCTGAGAGGATTTGCTGGAACTGCATTTCAAGGATAAATTTCAAATAACCAGAAAAAGAAAAACAAGTAAATGTTTATAACAATCTTCCAATTAGATTGATTGATCCATGTTCTATGGCTTATCAACCCTTTGCAGGTTTTTTTAATTTTTTCTTTTTTAAAGAATGATTTAGTGATACAAGTCTTACTAATTAACCTATAGCTGGAGAAAGAAGAGGTGAAATCATACCTTTCCCAAGGGTAATTGCATTTAAGTGAATATAACAAACCTAACTGGAATTAGAACTAGGCCCTCAGATTAACAATTCCATGACACCAGCTACACATCTAAGCTTACAGCACTTGGTATTTCCAAGTAGTCTCCCATCTAGGTACTGACCAGGCTTGACATTGCTTAACTTTGGTGATCATATGGGAACCAACATTTTAATATGGTATGGCTATAAGCCCTACAAGTAGAAAGGCTGCAAATCTTAATAGACATCAACATTAACCTAGGCTTGAATACCATTCGTGACTATATCAACCATGAGACAAGCTTGGTTGGAATAAAAGAATGGGTTGGAATTATGGAGGTTATCAGTTATAAATGGGTTGTTTATCTTATGACAATGTCCATTCTCACCATATACCAGTATAAATAATTTGGATTGTGTAATGATTAAACAGAAAGACAGTGTTAAATCTTTATATACACAATATAATAAAGCATAATTATGAAAGATGAATGTTCAAATTTCAAGTGTTCAAGTCCTAGCACATATGAGAGGTAGAGTGTGGGAAAATAAAACTAATAAATAAAATAATAATAAAGATTAAAAAATAAATAGAAAAATACATTTTCCGTGGTGAGAGTGAAAAGGAACCAAAAAGTGTTTTTGGTCATCTGTGCAATTTTATTAAACCACTTGGCTTTGCTATACATCTGTCAGATGGAGCTGTTTAAGTTCTATAAAAGGATAAACATATCCCTCCGCTTCCTCCAAGATGTAGCAACATGTTAATAAAAACATCCCCTCTGAACACATCACTTTTCCATGGTCAAATGACAACTGAGCTCTCTTTCACTTCACAAAGAATAACATTCAGACATTTTTTGTAAAAGCTCTACTGAGGAAGTAAGTTCAACCTTTACTTCAGTATTTTCAATTTAGCACAAGGCTAACATAAGCTTGACCATTATAACTATTCTTATCCTTCCTTAACCTAATTTCTGGACCCAAAAAAGAGAACGGACATACCCAAGAGACATTGAAAACTGTTTCCCTACAGTTTCTATAAAAAAATTTTTTAAAAATTAGTAGAAACCCAAGTTTTTCTTTCTTCTACATTAACTGTTTATATGTGAACATGCACACATCAAAAATACAAAACTTCAAATTCTATAAGAGTAACAGAGAGAGAGTTTTAAGGAAATTTTATATATATATATATATATATATATATATATATATATATATATATATATATGTATATATATATATATATATATATATATATATATATATATATATATATATATATATATATATATATATATATATATATATATATATATATATATATATATATATATATATATATATAAAATCAACCAGAGACAGCCTGTTTCACTGTATTACAGCTCATCAGTGTGGCTAGACATGTCAAACTGGTTGAATTTCAATCCTGGCTTGAAGCAATTGGATGTTTAGCTACACTGAGGAGCTGTGATACAGTGAAACAGGCTGTCTGTGGATTTATATATATATATATATATATATATATATATATATATGATTAAGACAAATATGAAATTTGTCACTTAGTTAATTGTTGTTATATTTGTCACTCCAATTCAGGAGTTAGACCTTTTAGTAATTGCTGTCCACTCATCAGGATGTACCAGACATATGTATGTATACATTCTAATCTAGTAGCCCCCACTTGGGCAGGTGATTGATAAAGGAAGGAATGTTTGTTTTCAATGTTGCAAGAAACAGTTTAGCCATGTAAGGTCGCAAATATTATATTTTGTCTCTGGGCATTACAATGACCACAGCTTTGGAGAATGGACAAAATCAATTTATCAACTAATTTTGGTTGATTTTCCATCTGTTCATATGCACATCTATAGATCTGGTTCAAAAAAGGTGTTCTGCTTCTCATTAGCTTATGGCTTATATCCTGGTTGTGATAGCTTTCTGATTGGTTGGTCGAATTATCTATTTTAAGAAATGGGAAAATTTTGGTCTCATATACTTTTTTTTTTTTTTTTTTTTACATCCAGGTTCTGAATGGTTGGTTAAATTATGGTTTTATTTGCCTGGTAATTTTTATCATCAATTAATTTTTAGAGATGGTGAAATTTTTGTCTTATTTTATTTACTTATTTATTTTATTTACTTATTTCTCTATCACCACAGAAAAAAAATAATAGGTTGAAAATTAATTCAAAATTAACTTATTTTCTTAACACAAAAAAATGGATGGAGAGAAGTTTGGAATAAACAGAAAAACTTCCTAACCTTTTATTTGAAGAAGTATGAAATGCCAACATCTAGATTAAGCCATTATTTTCTCTTCAAGTTTTGTGATATCTATTTTAGTTGTTACTACTGTCAAAAATCCTCAAGTGATGTGGTTTCTGTTTTCCAGTACAGTTCTTTGTGATTCTGTAGTGCCTGCTTACTTTAATTTTGGAACAATGCCAAATGTCAGTAAATTGAATTGTAAAGATTGCACAATATCAATCTTTATATATATATATATATATATATATATATATAATGTATGTGCGTGTGAAATGGATTAAGTCCAACAATTATTCAATATATTTTCCGTTTATATGTTTTTTTTTATAGATACAATATTGTATTTAAAAATAAAAAATAACATATAAATATATATATATATATATATATATATATATATATATATATATATAAAATAAATAAAGAAGATGTTATAGTAGTTCCAAAAAAAAAAAAAAAAAAGTGTATATTAAAAAGAGAAACCGCAAACGTTTTTGACTATAGTGTGGATTTTTAAAAAATATTACGTTTTATTTTCCATAATTTTGCTACATGTTTTTCCGGTCTCACAACTGTCATTAGGCAGAGGGTGGAGATTTCCACATTATTAAAAATAATTAATTTTTTTCTTTGTTTTTTGATGTTAGCTAATCTCAAAATGAGATATTCTCTTTTTTGTTTTAGAGATCCAAACGTCTTATTTTTAATAATATCTGGAAATCTCACCCTTTGCCTGATGACGGTCACAAGACCGGAAACACGTGTAACAAAATTATGGAAAATAAAATGGAATATTTTTTTAAAAATCCACATTACAACCAAAAACGTTTGCGCCTTCTCTTCTTTTTAATATAAGTAATAAAATCTTAATATACAGACAGCTAAAAGAAAGGAATAATATGCATGCTTCTCAAAGAAATTATTTTTATACTGATATATACACATGTATCCTCAATTTATTCCACACAGCAAAATTATCTTGTATTTATACAGCAAGTGGTGTGAAAGGGGCAAAAAGGGAAACAGAGTCTTACTTGTAATATTTCCCAATGGGAACAAAGGCAGGTCAGTGGAGTCCTTTATATTTCTTATAAGACCATGTGGGTTTCTCTGTATATCCTACCATAGTGGGATTGTGATGTCCATCTTCTCTGCAGCTTACATATCAACTGGTGTGTGCAGACATGTCTTGCCTCAGATCAGAATAAACAGCAGCTGTCTTACAACAGTGAACTAATGTCACTCACGGGACATCACAGGGCTTCATTTCAACCAAAGGAATATAAATCGCTCTTTGCATTACTACACATAATTTATTGCTCAGAATAAATGTATAGAATACAGAAGAGAGTTAATGAATGTCCATAGATAGAGATGTCACTATAGTGTGTGTGTGTGTGTGGTTCCAATAAAAGGTTGTGCAAGACTTACAGGTGTGAAAAGTTCTTTAACAATTTAATAGAATTGTTAGGTTACACCTGCTTGGTCTCACACTGTCCACTGACATGAGGTGGAATAATTACATTGAATCAACCGTAAGAAAAGTTGGTTTTCTGTGTCGTGCCAGAAAGTTTTTCTCATCTGAGTCCATCCTTCAATAAATCAACCATCCATCCTTGCATGGAATATTGTTGTCATATATGGTCTGGTGCTCCCACTGTATGTCTTGAAGTCCTCGATAAAATCCAAAAACAAATATGAAAGATGATAGGTCCTAATCTAGCATCTAGTCTTCAATTGCTATCACACAGACGTGTCGTGGACTTTCTCTGTATCTTCTACAAGTATTTTCACAGCAACTGTTCTGACAAGCTACTTTCACTAGTTCCTGGATTACATGAAGTGAGCTACCAGGCTGGCATCTCAGTCCTACCCTTTCACTGTCAAAACGGTTAAATGTAACCGTCTCTTCTACTCAAACAGCTTCTTCTCATGCACTTCCCATCTGTGGAACTCCCTTCCTCTTACTTGCTATCCCAATGACTGTAATCTTCAAATATTCAAGTGTAATGTCAATCGACATCTGACACCCTCAGCTTGTTCTCCGTCCTTCTCTGTATCCTTTCCTTAAACACGCCTCTATACACTTGTTCTCAATCCTCTGTACTCCTTGCATGCTAGTGGCACTCCTGCCTTGATTGGGATGAATTGGCTTAAAAAAATGTTTTACCTGTATGTAGTCAAGCTAAAGTATTGTATGCAGTGTACTATTGACATTGCTTGTGCCAGAGTGTAAAATTTAATGTTAATTCAAGTTTTTGGTGTTCTCTTCAGGCTTTAACTTTAAAAGGGGTTAAGACCATTACTTGTTACCTGAGGCATTCTAAAATAGTAAGTGCCAAGGAGGCTTGAGCAATTTTCATCCACAGTCCATATATGCATTGAATACCAACCACTTTAAACTCAATCTTGTATTATATTCTGCTCATGTCAGTGCTTAGTTAAATAACTACAACTGTGTTGTGCTCAATGCAACACATGGTTTGCTGTGACATGTTCAATATAATATAAATTTCACTGGAGACCAAAAAGTCCCCCCCAGAGGGAAACAAAATGCCTTATATCTTGTGAGTAAAGAGAAAGAAAGATACTTTTGAGTTTTTTTGTTTTTTTTTGTACTGCTTTGGCAATGCCATTTAACAGTTATTAGCAGAACGTTTTGGCAGACAAGGGAGGTAATCCTACACATGTATGCGCTTTGAAGGATTTGACTTACCTTTATAGGTACCTTCACGCTAAAAAAGAGCATAGCATGATGAAAAAGACGCCAAACTTGATGAAAACAAAATTTTATCGTCTAAATGTTTATGTTATTAAGAGGAAAGACCAAAGTTTTGTTTTTTTAATTTTTAAAATTTTTCCTTTTTAGAACATTCTAAATTTTGATTAAAAAACCTTGTTTCTCTTTGTATCAGCAGAACTAGTAAAT